GGCTCCCGGGGCCGCTCCCCCTCGGCTCCCCGCGGCCTCACCAAGACGGAGGCGAGGGCGAGGGCCAGGACGGTGAAGAGCAGCCGGACGGCCAGGTACAAGTCCACGGCCACGTCCGTCCCGCCCTGCTGCTGGAGCCCACCCGTATTACAAGCCATTGCCATAAAGCACAGTGAGACAAGAACCTTAGCCCAGGCCCCACACTTGATAAACACTAACACAGCAAATACCGGCTCTAAGTAAGTTACAACGGTCTGAAGCTGTGATATCAACGAGAACAACTCTGAGAGCCAATAAATCAGCATTGTGACGAGTGACTATTAATCCAGTCAAATCTGTCGTTATCTCAACCCCTCGTGCCCCACGTTGGGCGCCAAAACTGTTGTGGTTTAAACCCCGTCAGGTAACTCATTCACTCACTTCCCCCCCTTCTTGCCCTCCCCCTGCTCCCGGAGGGACGGAGGGGAGAGTCAAAAAGAATGCAACTCCCCCAGGTTGAGATAAGAACAGTTTAGTAACTAAGGTATAACACAGATCACTACTGCTACCACCAATAATAACAATGATAAAGGAAATAACAAGGGAAGAGAATACAACACCTCAGCACCAGCCAACCGATAACTCACCCCCCCAGCCCGACCAAGCTCTGACCCATACCTCCTCCAACCCTGCAGTCTCCCAGCCCTTCTAGCTAACTCCCAGTTACATCCTGGGCATGACGTGCTGTGGTATGGAATGCCTCTTTGGTCAGTTTGGGTCAGGTGTCCTGTCTCTGCTTCCTCCTGGCTTCCCCTCCTCCCTGGCAGAGCATGAGGCTCACAAAGTCCTTGGCCAAACCAAAACATCGCTATCAGTTCTGTTCCCAGGCCGAAAGTCAAAACACTGCACTTCACCAGCTACCAAGAAGGAGAAACATGACTGCTACTGCTGAACCCAGGACAACAACCATAACTATGAGACAGCTGGTACCCACTGATTGTATCACAGCTCTGACGCTCAGTAATTCTGCTCTCCAAAGATCTAACTGTTAAGGGAATTCGAGAATGGGGAACATTTGTTGTAGTTCAGTTCTACTGACAAAAATACTACTTCAGAGACTGCCTGTGATAACTTACCTGTGGTTTGAACCTAGACTGCCAGCAGAGTAGGTGAAAAAGTGGCAGAACAAGTAGGTTGCAAGACAGCACTACCTACAAGTGTTCCCACATAGGAAACAGCACAGGCTGAAGAAAACTTGGGTGCAGGGATCTTCCCATGTAGCAGGCAAATTAATTCTGCCTATTATTGGTTTGATGCATGGGTGTATGCGTGTGTGTAGGTCTGTGTGTTTAACAGAGAAACCCAAATAGGTTTATTGCCTCTGTTGAAAGATTATTATATGGATCCCTTTTCCAGAAAAAAAAACACTTCAATGTGCATTCAGAAAAAAAGGAGCAATGACAGAACTAGTCAGAAAGCACATATTTAATGTTACCAGCCACTGCTCTATTTGATCAAGTTGGCTAACTTTTCACAGTTACAGCTAAATACATTCACATGCTTGAAAGACAGGGAAAATTCTTGAGAAGGACTTGCCAATCTGGTCCACTGGCCAGCTTTACTTACATGATAACTAGTTAAAACTCCAGATGTCTGCTTTTCAGTGTGGTTTAGTAAAACCACACAGTAAATAGGGCATTGTAAGCTTACCAGTATAGATAAGTATCATGAATCAAAAATCTAGCTCTACAAATTGGATCCCAGGGTTTTGCTGACCCACTTCTCACCAAAAGCAAAGCAAACATATGCAGACTGACCAGATGAGTAAAAGATAGAATACCTACCTCTTCTTCTAATCACATTTTAGCATCTCTTTTCCTATGACAGGTCTCTTCGTGTCTAAGAGGGAAACATGCCTTCAGAAGCATGTGTGTAATGTAGCAAATGTATGAGGCAGTGTCTACTAGTCGTGTGACTGAGAAACTGGAATTCCTTCTCCCTCCCCCACAACCTCTTTCTCCATTGTTAGTCGAGTTGTTACATTACAGACTCATCATCCTTATAAGATCCCAACTTGTCTCCATGTTACTCACAATTGCTTCTCTCACAGTTAGCTTTACCAGCTCTTTCATTTGTACTCACAGACCAGCATGCCAATTTCTTGATAACACCCATATTTTTCCTTCAGCTTTCTCTTTTTACCTCATTGCTTCTAGAAGTTGTGTCTGTTGATCTTACTGATCGTAAGGTGCAAACTTGTCCTCATATTGGACTTGTCTGAATAAATCCCCTTTTTTTTTTGAGACAAGACTTTGCTTTGGTCTGTTGCCATCTGCACTAAGGAACCAGTGTCTTAAGATATAATCAGCTAATGGCAGGCCAGGATGCTGAAGATGGGATTCAGAGTTGGGACCACATGGAATTTGCCACCTCGGCAATTTTTTTCTGTCCATTTTTCACAGGTCACTGTAGCCAGTGGCTTTAATTTTATCTTTAACCAGTATCATCAACAGTGTCTAGGAATGAAGCCCTGGAGGCTGTCTGAAATCCCCCAGGTAATGTCCCAGCGTTGATGACATATGGATGCTACTTATATGACGACATGCTTTCAATGATAACAGTAACAAGAAGTGTGTCATACTGGCACGTATCAGTGACCTATACTGAAGTGTGTTAAAGAACCAGCAAATGAATTATACCACAGAGCATGCAGCAGTTTCTTGCACAGAAATATAAAAGCAGAAAGCACTGTTCTGCCCCAATTACGACACATCTCATTACAGTTACTAGGGGAAAGTGGTCTGTCTCATACCTCTTTGCTTAGGTTTTCTTTTATAATTACAACTGAAATATGATGACTGCAATGCAAAATGATTTGTCTTACCTGAATGCAACATTTGAAGCATTACCAGGTTTTCTCTCAGCTGCTGAGCATACCTGCTGGTTTTGCCCAGGAGGATGTTATTGGCTTACAGCTTTCCTAAAACACAATGTTTGATAATTTTTCCCACTGATTTTTAAATGGATTTATTTTTTATTGATTTATTTTTTAATGGATTTTTTCTAAAAAAACTATCGAGGAATTTCTGTTTATTGATATGTAATATAATGGTTTGACTTTCATGTACCAAACTCACTATGACTAATTCTGTAGACTTGTTACTTATTTTATAGGTTTTAGGATCAGATTTGTTTCACATGAAACAAAACAAAACACCAACAAACCCAACCAAACAACAGCAATATTTTCTTTTAGCCACATTATTCAATGATTATCATTGTCCCTGTCATTTTGCCACAGAACACCTGCTGTACAAGAACTCTGACAAAAGTCAGTCAGACAAAAAATTCAGAGAAATGGACTAGCAAATGCTATGCTTTGAGTAATGTATGCAAACAAGCCTGCAAAGGAACCTTGGGAAAGTTTTTGGAGGCAAGTACTCATTACATACTATATTTGTATTGATGCATTCCTACAGTATCTTTTTCAGATTCAAAGAGAGCTTCGTGCGGTCTTTGCATTTATGACATTTTGTATGTAACAGTGTAAGTATAAAGTTGTACTTTCATAAACACAAATACAAAATAATATTCCATATTCTTATCTCTAAACAACTTTCTAAGGGAAGAATGGAAGAGTCTTTTTTTTTTATTTTTCAGATAATTCTGAATACAGAAGTCTACTATAGCTTGGGGAACTGGAACAGACAGAAGACTGCAACGATTTTGTGTTATTAACAGAAAAGATTAGACACTAAAAAAAATAAACAATCTTTTATAAGCTAATAAACACCAGCAATTTTGGAAACATCTGCAACACTTCACCCTTTATTTCAAATTCAAGTTCATCAAAGGGCAAATTGCTGTAAGCAATACTCATTATAATGTGCTAAGTTTTTGCAGGTACTTTGCTTTTTAGGTAAGCTTCAGGGGAAGAAAAAAATGCTGTGTGAACTAGTGCAGTAGCTGCTGTACTGGTGCTATTGTATATCAGCCATGAGATGGAAGGGCATATGGTTTTCTTAATTTATTTTTTCTCTCAAAGCAATCTCAACAAAGTAGATATTGCTTTGTGCTCTCAAAAAAGTTATAGTGCCAAGCTGATTTCCTCAAGCACAAGGACCTTTCACAGCTGGATCTTTTTTCTTCATGAGCAGATCTCAAAACTCAGTTCTGAAAAGCTTCACAGTTTGGGAGATCTGATACATGCCTTCCTGTAACATGGACGATTTGCTTAAAATGCAATACTAAATGCATTTGCTTTCTCATGCAACACTAAATTTCACTCAAATGTCTCCATAAGATTCTGTAGAGACTTCAACAGGTCTAAAAGAGCTCTCAGTCTTTAGCTTTGAGATAGACTTTATGGACCCCTTTAGATGATCTTAAGGTCCTTTCCAACCCTAACTATGATTCTATGGTTCTATGACTGTTTCATACAGCATAAAAATTCTGTTAAAATGAGCAAATAGAAAAATAAAAGCTATGTTTTGTTAGGATGTAGGCAAGTAATATTTTGCTATATGCTTATGTGCATCATGTTTTCATATCTGTATACAGAAAGATGCTGTACAAAATATTTTCATGCCACTTGGTATTCTAAGAAGCTACTTTTTTAGCATAGCTTATATTTCTGCTAAGTTTTAAGCATTGTGTATATTCATATAAATAGTGCTGAGTATCTTATTAGTGCCATAAAATACGAAAGAACAGTAACAGAAGGGCTACTGGAACCACCTGTGGGGCTTGCGGCATTTTTTTGCAGTGAAGACAGGACAATTCAGAATACTGAAAACTCACTCCCAAATACTGCCTTTCTCCATCCTTTCCCCTCTCCTAAGCAACAAGTATTCTGATCATGGCAATACCATTACAACAATAAATCAAGCTGGCATGTATTTCCTAATTCAGTCGTTTGATGCCATTTGCCATTTGTCTCATGTTTTGCTTGTGCTGGGAGTGAAATACTCCTCCCAAAGCAATCTGTTCATTCCCTTTTGTGTCCCTTCTTTTTGTTGCAGGATGTCAACATCACACTAACAGAGAGCCAGGCCAAAACCTCTACCAGGAAATAACATCTGTATCTGACTTCTTGGATTTTGAAGACTTACCTAAGCAGACGTTTCACCCATGGAGCAGAATCACTGTGATGCCATCGGTAGCGTAACCCATGTCTGCTTCTGAAAAGAGAACTGTTTCATCAGATAAAGCAACAGGAAGCTGCTCTTGAATACACCAATGAGGCAACAGCTCACATGTCTCTTAATTATTTTTTTCCTCTTTTTTTTTTTTTTTTTTCATTTTTAAATATCTTGTTAACTTACCCATGGGAAAAAAAAAGCAACATAGTTGTGCAGAAGTATCCACAAAGGATGTAGCAACCTTGGTAAATCTAGGAATACTTTCAGTAAGTTGATCAAAGTTTTATTGAAAATATTGCCTAATTATGTAAGTGGAGTATATTACAAACCTCTTATTAATGTTCAAAACATAGGGTCTTTTTCTTGACTGAAGGGCTTGTCACTTGCCTTTCCCAACAAATTTATCACAGAAACATCTAAGACTCCACCAAAGAAGAGTCCACAAAAATACCCCACAGTGACTTTAGGAGGTCGTACAAGAAGAATTAATTATTTTCAGAATTTGTATTATTTTTTTTGTTTGTTTGCCTACTGAGGGGAGGAAGTTTGTGAACAGTTCTAGTTAACAAAGATAACAGAATTTATACACTGCAATAAGTTGCATATTTATATATTTTTATATGAACTGAATCTGAGGTTGGATGCAGCTTGCACAGGAGTGATTCTTTTAACAGATAATTTTATTCAGTTAAACAGCTGGAAAGTTTTTACATAAGCACACTTTCTCTTTTCACTATGTGATAGTAATTTATTGTATGCTCTGATTTGTTGTTTTTTTATTTAATTCTGTTTGGAACAATTCAATACAAAAATGGGTACAATTTCACTTTAAAAAGTGAAATTACATCTATGGGGTAATATCAAAACTGGCCTGTTTGATGATTAAGATGCAGAGGAGAAATGAAACAGAGGAGGAAATTTAAAAGCTCTAAAATAGGACATCCTGACATTCTTGAGAACAATACCAGGCAGCTCTATAATATTTACCACTGGATGCAGAGATTTGGTTCCTCTTTTCCAACCAGAGCATGACTTTCTCATCCAGTTTTTCTACTAATTCGCTTTAATATGAAGCCTGAATTATCAAAACGCTCTATACTTGTGTTCCCTCCTCAACTGATATCATAGCCCTCTCCAGTTTGGTAAGAGGGAGACTTCCAAGCCACTTGGTTAGATCAATCTCTAAATTAAATTTTTGTCAAACCTCTGTTTTCACTGAAAGAAAGGTCATTGTACAAAGACCTGATTTATCACTTTTCACCAGCCTTTTCGTAACATGGTACCTACTAAGAACAGTGTCCGGCTGAGCTGGTTCTGCTGTTCAGTTGTGGGTTCCTATACTTCACTGAAGAAAAGGCATTTAATTTCTGATGCAAGCAGAACAGTTTTCCAAGCTTGGTTGGTTGTTTTGTTTTTTTTTTTTTTGAGATCCAGACATGCACAGTATCTCAAATCAGTCATCTCGGAACAAAAGGTGTTCTTCAGGTTGGCTGAGATTAACGCACTATCAAGAAGGAACAACTGAAATAGAAAAATATTAACAGTGCAAAATTATTTTATCTACAAAAGAAGCAGTGAGTAAGTCCTCAATAATTTTGTTGGCTATACTGGGGCTTACATAGGGTCCAGATCATATTATCTTTGGATCACAGAGAAAGGTAAAACAGGTAAAAAACAAGGTAACAGTAAGGCTGGGATTCTTAATGCAGAATAAAAGTCCTCAGAGTCCCACCGAAATATTCTCTTCTTTCCACCAAGACAGATACTAAGAATGTTTTTCTACACCTTTTCTTTCTGAAAAGGGGAGGCACTCAGCACACCATAGGATGCAAACATGAGTTTTGAAAGCTGACACTTTAAGGCACCTATGAGTGAATAAAAGACTGAATTTCACAGCTGAAGCCTTCTACCTGGAATAAATTTATGCATTAAATTTAGATATTATCAAAATTAGCCCATAATTCCTGATGATTTTGCAAACCTTCCAGGTGTGCAGAGCTGTATGGTCTGCTGGAATGAATGTGAATTAGGACCATGAACATAATTCTACCTTTGTCACTGACTCACTGTAGCCTTGAGGAAGTCACTCTGTCCTTGCATGCAGTAATGACATCGTATAGCTCATTTGGGTGTGAGCAGATTCATTAGTTTGCTATTGATATGGCTGTAAAGTGCAAAATGCTTTGTGTTTAGAATTGTTATTAAAAATGAAACAAACAGGAAACGTCAGTCAGGTAATGTCATCACTGAGACATTAGATCCCTCAATGACATGGCCAAGAGAGGCAGTGGCTCGAATAACAGCATCCTTGATAGACAGAAATGTGCAAAACCTCGGCTTTTCCATGGCTCTGACACTGCACACAGGATGTCAGCTATTGCATCTCCTCACTCCTCAAGCACACGGAGCATCGCCTCTGTAGAACACTTAAATCAGCAGACAGACACTTCCCCTTTAAAGGGTATTTTTATAGCATAATCAAGCCGATCACCAATCTCCTTTTTATTCTACTCTGAGTCAAATGCTTTGATGAGCTGGAGTCTGAGCGAACACCCTGGTTATTCTCACGGAAGCTTTTAGCATGTGGCACTGCACTATCTCAGCTGGCCGCACTTTCATGTGGGTGCCCTGCCGTGTGCCTCGTGAAGGCTGTAAAACAGAACCCACGCCCAGGATCCCTCCCTGAGGACACAGCTGCTGATCCAACTGAGGTTCCCCGGGAAGCCCACAGGCTGCCAGCACCCCTCTCCCGGGCTGGCCCTCGCCACGCCTGGCCCTGTGTCCCGGGGCCGCTCCCTGCCTGTTCCTGTGCAAGCAGTCAAAGGTCTTCCTCACAACGTGCTGCAGTTTTCTCCTTCAAAGTGACCAGTTTTGCCTACTTTACAAGGGATTTAGTGGCAGCCTGAGAGTGCGGCAAAACCAGTTAACTAGGTGCTGGCGAGGGCTTGGAAATCAGGTTCACTGGGAATCACCGTTCCTCTCTCTGGAAAACTGACATGCCTTGCCAAAGGCCCCCCCAATAAAGGTCACTTCGGTGTTACCCTAACATCGCTGCTCAAGCTCCACTAAACCCGAATTCGCTGTGTACCCGCAGAGAAACCCTGCGTAGCCGTGATGCCCACCACCCTCCCCGCCGCATCCAAGATGGCTCCACAATAGCTTCACTCGGCATTCAGTGCCCAATTCCAGCATGGCGGTAAGCTTCCCACTAGCCCGAATTTGCTTGCCCTTTCTCAAAATGGCAGCCGCTAACTTCAACCCCGGCGTTCGTGTGTGTCGTAAGGGCGGACAGCCTTCCCCTCCCTGAGCCTTTCCCTTTACCAAAATGGCGGGGAAGAGCTCTCACGCCCCGCCCCTCAGGTGATTGCCAGGTTGTGCTATCACGTGACAAGCGGAGTTGGACAGTGGCGAGTTGCTGCAGGGGTGGGGCGGCGCGGAGTGTGTGTGATGGAACAGTGTGCTCTTCTGTTGTGGAGCTGGCTCCTGCTTGGCTGCAGCTGGGGCCCGGGCCCCCCTGGGGTCGGTGCTGCTGTGCTCTCCACGGCCACCTACGAGCTGGACGATGCCTACGGGCTGGGGAGGGAGTTCGACGGGATCGGCGCTGTCAGCGGCGGCGGGGTGAGCGGCAGCGGCGGGCTGGGCGCGGAGGTCCTGCCTAGCTGCTGCCTGCGGTGCTGCTGTGCTGCTCCTAGAGGCGGCGGTTTTCACGGGCGCTTAGGCGGGGAATTCCGTCAGTGTGAACATTCGGTGGCTTCGGTGGAGCCCCTTGATGTGTCTGTGAGGGAGCCGTGAGGAAGTGGGGATGTATGAAAGGGAAGGTGGTGGAGATGAGAGGACGTGAGTGGAGCTCTGAAGGGGAGCTCTGCCCTGAAGGTCCCGATGGGAGCCGTGCGGGCAGTGGTAGTGGCAGCGGGGACAGTTTGCTGGAGCCGGGCCCTGCTTTGTGCCTTTCTTGCTGTCAGATGTACAGTGGCTCTTTCTCACCAGGCTGCTTGGGTAGCCGAGGACCAGCCACTTCCTCAGTGCTGTTGGAGGAGAGCTAACAAGGGCGTTTTTTTTTTTATCTGTAGAGGCTCTTCCTCACTACTTGTCTGTGTGAGCTTTAAAGTGTTGGATGAAACAATAGCCAGTCGTATGCTTTCCTGTGGTCCAGCAAACAGAGCCGGGAGCTCTTGCAAGTTCTTACCTGCTCTTGGACGTGCTGATTTGCTTCCCTTCACCTCCTGCCTGTGTGGCCAGTGAACTCCCATTGCCTTTGGTATAAAGTGCACCAAAGCAGAGAGATACGAGTAGAAGAGGATAAAAGGTGCTGGGAGGGGACTGCATTTTGCTTGCACCAATTCTGCTCTCTGGATTCTCTTCGCATTAAATTGCAGGAGCTGAAGTAGAAGGCAATTGTAATCTATGAAACCAGAAATGCACTATTGAAGGATTAAAAAAGACTTCTTGTAGGGATTTAGCTGAGTTCCTGGTGCTAGAATTACTTTTGTTATTTTGTTAGCTATGTGAAAGTCCTCAACTGACAGACTGGAATGTACTTATATGTTTGAAAGTTAAATTTTCATATTTTTGTTTTGTTTCCATTTTAGGCCACATCTAGACTCCTGGTGAACTACCAAGAACCTTATCGCTCCCAGATTTTGGATTATCTGTTCAAGGTAAAGTTGGTTTCACTGATACAATAATGTCTAATTTCATCCAGAATTTCTTATTGCATAACGTTAGACTCCTATAGCATATTCAGTACTACTTGAAATTGGACAAAGTTCCATTTTATAAAGCATCTCCTTTAATATTAGCTTTTGTTTTTGACAACCAGCATATGGTTCAGGAGCCTATTTGTTCTGATTATTATGAAAAGTCCTTTTATGTTTTCACAGTATGTTTTAGAAAACATGTTTTCAAGATATTTTGATCATTCATTTGGGCTTAACGAGGATGAAATTATTTTTGTGGCTAAAATGAAGGGTTTAGCTGTTCATAGCAATTGCAGGGTGTGCAATCATTGAGACAGTTTTCTTTATTACTTTGGAGTACAGATTCATGTAATGTGAAAACAGCTGTGCGGCCTGCAACATTTCAGTACCATATCTATTCCAAACTAGTTTC